GCCGGGCCGATGCCATCGAGCCCCGCTACTACGAGAGCTGGACCCGGGAGACCGAGTCCACCTGGCTCACCTACACCGACTCGGACGCGCCGCCCAGCAGCGCCGCCCTGGACAGCGGCCCCGAGGCGGGGGGCCCGCACGCGGGTGAGTGAGCCCGGCTCCCGCAGAGCCCCCGGCGCTGGGAGGCCGGACGGAGCCACAGGAGGGGGAGCCGGAGGGATAGGGGGCACTAGGGGCAGCCCCATCCCTCAGAGAATTCAGGGGCAGGGAAAGGAGGGAGAGAGACAGACAGACAGACAGGACCTGCCTGCCGACAGACTGATGGAGCCAGGCGCAGGGAGCCGGGTCAGCGAGAGACCCTTAGAGACCCTAAGGCTGAGCTAATCCCCTGAGCTTCGGGGAAACCCAGCGCTCCTTTCCTCTGCCAGTGCAGGCTCATTGGCCGGGGGCCGATGGGCTAGGAGGACAGCCCACCCGGCTCGCACACCTGCCCCTCAGCCCGCCCACGTCCCCGGCCCCCCTGGGTTTGCCTCCGCCTCGCTTTGGACCATTTCCCCCTGAGGTCCTCTGGGTCATTTCTCCATCCACTGGCCGCCTGGCCCCTCTCTCCCTTGACTTATAGATACGGCGCCCTACCCAGATTGCCTGGGTGGAGACTTCCTCGTCGCTTCCCCTTTTCTCCCTGTTGGCAAGGAGTCCCCTCGCGGTCTTCGAAAACCAGAATTCTAGTTCAGGGCAAAATAAACGCCTGCTGGCCCCATCACTAGCTCTGCACTTCAGCTTACTTTTCCAGCAACTGTTTCATAGCAAGGACTCACCACCCTACCCCACGAGGCCTCGAGGCTTTATATGATGCAGGGCATAAAAGTGGATTAGGACTGTAAGTTACATATTCTGACCATTCCCCATCTAGCAGAAATCTGATAGAAGGATATGCAAAGAACTTTCTGGTCCAGTCACAAGTCAGGATTTCTTTTTTTTAAGCAGACACTAATAATTGTATGATAGAGATGAAAATAGACTAACCGTTGCCACAGACTGACCTTGAATCATAAAGGTGTTGGTGATGTTAAAAGGAAAAAAACCTCACTGCTTATTATATGGATGTTGTCAAAAGCCAGATCAATATTCAGATAAAAATGTTTTAACTATTTCCAGACCCTTTTATGTGGTTGGTATTTTTGAATAATGAAATCTAAAATAGAAAATGAGGTTAATTTGAAGCATAATGTATATTATAAGGAGGAGGAAAGAAATGTGAACTACTCTTAAGAGATTAATAATTCTAAATCCATGCCTCCTAAGAGCTGGCACTTTAATCTTGACAATAGGTCTCTCCATCTTTTAGGACAAAAACTGGCTCCTTTTTCACATTAACTCTGTGATTCCCTTTTTTTAAAAGCAAGAACAGTCAGCCAAAGCTGTGCAAAGCATAACACTATATTTGTCTTTAATTTTTCTGAGTCACAGTAGCAATCGTAATGGCTGTTTTGTGTTGCTGATGCTTTCAGCAAGTTTCCAAATGATGTGTTAGCTGAATTCAGTGTCAGAATGAGGATAAGCCATAAGCCTTCGAAAGGGACCTGCTAAATGTTAGATGTAACAGGATTTCCCAAGGAGGTGTGGTACTTCTCAGCAGAATCAGAGCCAGAGCCGCACTCCAAGGAAAGAAGGTTAAAAAGATCTAGTGTGAAAAAGGACAAAGTACAGCTTCAGGGAATGGTGGCCTTGGTGATAGAGTATATGGTGTGTGTGTGTGTGTGTGTGTGTGTGTGTGTGTGTGCGCGCGCGCGCATATGGATGGGTATGAGAGTTATTATAGGATGGCTAAATATGTACATCTTTATTCATTTCCAATGCTTATTCATTTATTACTCTGCCATCCTGAGTCATATCCCATCATGCATCATGATGGGTTCCTGCAACAGGTGGGACCCTGGACAAGTGCACTTATATGTGGTCCTCTGCCAAACATGGGACAGTCCTGCCAGGAAAGTGGTCCTGAAGACCTGCATCATTCACAGGGAGGGCTCAGCTCCAGTCCCAGGACAGTGCCCTAAAATTGGCAAGACTCTTGGATGAGAAGGACATTTCAATTCTCTAGAAATTTCCATCAGCCTCAGGGGAGAGGCACATTTCTGAAGATTGAGATGGAATTAAGGCTTCCCCTGGAGTGCATTGGCATTCCCTAGGGCCCTTAGAAAAGTGGCTTGATTCCTGCGGATTTTTCAGACTGGGAAGTGGACATCTTTAGTCAGAGTGGGTATCCGAGGAAGCTACAAATCTCCTGGGTTTCAGCCACCCTAGGAGATTAGCCAGGGTTCTTTATTCTTTTCTTCCTCCCTGCTCCCCGGCCTCACCCACTCCCTGCCAGTGCTCCACCTGTGAATTCAGTCCCAGGCTTCTGGGGGGCACCGAATGGTCCACAGTGACTGTGTTGTGATAGGAAGCCAGAATGCTACATTTTCCTGTTTCCATCAGTGCTTTTCTGATGGGGGACAAAAGGAAAGGCTGGATTCAGGAGAATCCAGATTGTGAAAGTCACAAAAATGGCTTCATTACTAGAATTCTAGAGCTGGAGAGGGAATCTGGAACCTATTCAAGGCAGGTGGAACTCAGTTAAATTGTCCCGGTCTGGACATTCTCTCAACCACTTCACAGCTCTTATTTACCCCAGTCCTCAAGAGTCCTTTCTCTCTGGGCCTGATCACTCTCCTGTAGCGTCAAATTGAAGCCACTGTTCTTCTGGCCACCCAACCTCAGGAGCTGTGAGGGCGGGGAGTGGACTAATTCATCCTCATGTCCTCTGTGCTTACACACAGTGGAGCACGTGTGACCCCCGGTTGGGATTTGATGAAGGTTTTCTGAATGAATAGGCACTCTGTCTAAACCTACCCTTCATTCCTGTCAGCTCTTCCTAGATTCTCTCCTCCTTTTCTCTTCCTTGCTATTGAAATTTTCCCACTTGAATCAGTTTAACCTAGATTCTTCCAAGTGCCGTTCTGGCACAAGCCCACGGCTTCCCTTTAAAAAGTTCCTCGATGTTTACTCCATTGAAACACTCGGCCCAGCTCAAAGATTCCATTTCTTCTGTATCACATAGCTCCCCTCCCCACCCCACAACTCCACACCCATGTCTACTGAGAAGCCCCATTTAAGCTTGTAAATCTCACTTCAGTTTCTCTTAGTCCAATCCAGATTGAGGGCATATCACCTGACAGGTGTTCAATAAATATTTGTTGGATGAATTTTGCTTTTTATTTTTTTTTTGCTGGGAAAGAGTCACCCTAAGCTAACATCTGTTGCCAATCTTCCTCTTTTTTTTTTTTTTCTCCCCAAAGCCCAGTACATAGTTGTATATTCTAGTTGTAAGTCCTTCTAGTTCTTCTATGTGAACCATGGCCACAGCATGGCTACTGACGGACGAGTGGTGTGGTTCTGTGCCCAGGAACCGAACCCGGGCCGTGGAAGAGGAGCGTGCAGAACTTTAACGACTAGGCCATCAGGGCTAGCTCTGAATTATGCATTTTACTGCAGGAAGCGGGGTGTGGGACTGGTTCTTCTACCAGTCCCACAAAAGAAAGTTTCTTGCCTCCTCCTTATTCAGTGATCCTGAGCCTCTAGTTCCTGTTTTTGGAGATCACCTCCATTAGCCAGCAGAATTCAATTAAGTTTTTATATTCAGCTATTACGTAGGCTGGAATTAAAGGCTTAACTGAAGCCACAGTATCTGATAGCCATTGCTACTCTGTGTCACTGAAGCCTGTCTCTCTGTCACAGGAGGAAATTAAATTGGTCTGGCATTATTTCATCCATGTAAAATCAGTTTGCTGGATAGATTTTTACTTCTGTGGTCTGATGGGGGTCTCCCAAGGAGAAAGGGGGTCTCTGAGGTTGCCATGCCCCAGCCTAGCTCAGCTATTCTATACATTAATAACTTCCTAGCTTCACCTCAATTTAATCACAAGTCCCTTAAATTACATCCTTAAATATCTCCTTTTGTACTATTAGTTTTTTTTCCTAATTTCTCTACAGAATAAAACATTTCAAATTTCTCTGAAGTGCTTCTACTTTATAGTTTTAAATTGCCGTAATAATTGCTTTAGTAAATGCAAGATGGAAGATTATGGAATTAGAGACTCACAGCAAAATGATTTACCTAAATAAATTGAAATATGTCAAATAAAATGAAGATCACTTAATATTACCATCAGCTAACATTTATTGATGACTTACCATGGCCAGGCGCTGTACCCAGCAGCACTTTATGTAAATCACCTCGTGAGTCCTCACAGCCGGGATGAGGTAGGAACTATTACCATCCTCCTTTAACAAGTAGGGGAATGAGGCTTAGAGTGTGCAGGAACTTTTCCTGTCCGGGACTGGGATCCAGCTCTGTCTGAATCCAAAGCCCACACTCTTAAATACTGCCTGTCTGGTCACTGGGGAGTTAACTATAGAATTCCTGATTTTACAGTTGATGGGACTCTGAGTCTAGTCTGATCTCTTGATATTCAAGGCTGGTCTCAGTCAGCATGGTTTTCTTCTGCAGCATCCCTGAGGATGGGATATCTCTTCCCTAGGGAAGGAGGCCTCCCTCTATCTTTCTGGAGCAGTTCCCTTCGTGAGAAACTCTTCCTACTGCCTTGTAATTTCTACCTGGTGAGCTCTGGGCCCTTGGCATCAAGTCTTGCACAGGCAGCTCTTTCAATAGTTGAAGACTGCTGTTGCATCTCCCCTCACCGTTGGTCCTCCAGACCAAACACATGCAATGCCTTCAGTCATTCCCTCTTGGTACAGGGACCTATGATTAGCTCCAAGCTACTCATGTCAGCCGAGCAGCGTAGGGCAACACAAGGTATATTATGATGAGGGCGCTGACCCTCTCCTGGTGCAGGTAAAACCAGGTCAGGATTTGTTTTCCTGGTGCTGTTGTTGCCATATTACCTTGATGACTCACATGAAGCTTGTGATTAAACCCTTAGATCTTTCTTTCTAGTCAAATTTAAGTTCTGTGACATCAGGGACATGTCTGTGTTTTCACTGCTATACAGCCAGCACCTGGAACAGTGACTGGAATATAGCTGTCACTCAATAAATGTTTGTTGAACGGATTTTTTCCCCCGTGAATCCTGCATTTGTACTATTGATTTCAGTAACCCAAATTTGGGATTTTTGTATTTATTCTTGTTAAAATTAATCCTGTTGGTTTCAGTTTAGTGTTTAAACTTGCTGACTTTGAGTCATTTTGATAGAACTGTGAAGACAATATTCTAGATCTTTATTTCCCTATGTTGACAGACTAAAGATAAAAGACATTTATTTGCTCTTTCGTTCACTTAATATACATTTGGCACAAAGATAATAATAATACAGAGACAGACATAAAGGTAGACGCGCTGCAGGTTAGCATGGTCCCTACTAGAACAGCATGAGGGAAAGGTGCTGAGGGAGTGCAGGGGACTGAGCAGTTGGTTCTGCCTGGGGAGGGGCCCGTGTGTGTACAGACCTCCACAGGAGCCCAGTGGAGGAAGCAGGACCGTTCCTGCAGGCCCTCGCAGCCAGGAGGGGTAAAGGAAGGTTATCCTGATTCCTTCCCTCAGGGTGAGAGGACCTGTGGAGAGCCCACCTGGGGCTTGCTGATGGGTAAGCCTCCTCCTTCCCCCCAGCTCCTCCTATGTACCTGCTATACTTGTGGTTATATTTTCTTTTTTTTATTTAATTAATTT